CAGACAATCAAAAACTTCTATAAACAGCAACTCATTCCATTCCAGTCTGTAACACTGGTGACCAGACAGTCACTCGTCACTTAATTCATTTAATCCTCTTACACGTAGTGAGACTTGACATGTGTTATACAGAAAGAAAAATGAAGAACACTCAGCACTTATCAAAACAGTCATCCTTTTTCGAATAGGAGATTCAACATCTGCAACGTTGATAATATCTCTATAAAAATAGAACAATATCAGAATAGAATCCATGCTCTCAGCCTTCCTTGAAACTTTTATTAGACTTTTATTGGCAAAAATAACACACTATTAGCCTCACAACACAAGAGTTAACATCTTTTGCGATTTTAATAAGACGTCTATTGCCTAAAATAACGCTATCAACTTCGACCCAACGCACTCGACGTATCTTGAGACTTTATTAAGACTTTCATGGGCAAAAAATCACACTCCATTAGCGTCAGATGTAGGCCCTCAACTTATCTTCTGAATTAAAGAGACTTTTATAGAGAAAAATATACGTTCTATCAGCAGCTAATAAAAGCACTCAATACCTCTTGCGGTTTGAGATAAGACTAAGAAGCAAGAAAATCACTATTCCTCAATCTCGAATAAAAGCACTCAGCTTTTGTTTGGCTTTAAACAACATCTAAAGAAATAGAAATCACAAAGAATCATCCCCTTCCACTGCATTCCATATTTTTCCAAATCTTCACTCATTGCTACTTCCTTGCCACCATTCCAAAGCATCTTTCTGGCTATAGCCCCCGGCTTTCATTCTTTCTCTTCGGGTAGCTGGGTGTCTCCCTCGCCACTAGCGAGGCTGTGCTGGGAAAACTCAATGAGACACGCAATTGCTAAGTGGGTCCGTTTCCCAGATCATTTGGTCTCATTTCAGGTTCCTTTTTACCATGTTGAGAGGCGCCTGGGCCATCTCTGTGGTGCCCTGTTTCAGGCTATGTTGCTGTTATGGCGTGAACCCGTTGTTGGAATGTTGGGAGCCCTGTTGTTGCTGTGTTGTAGCCCTGTTGTGATTCTGTTGGGAGCATGTTGTACCCCTGTTTGGGGTTCTGTTGTTGTTTTAATGTGCGTCTATTGTGGTCATGTGACCCTGTTGTATCCCTGTTACAGCCACTTATTTTAGCCCCATTGTGTCCCTGTTGTCGCCATGTTTTTCAACTATTGCAATGGTAGTGTTTTCATGTTATTGCATTGTGACCATAGTATGCTCCTGTTATGACCTTGTCGGTATTTTCCTTTGGCTGTGCCGTGGCCTGGTTCTGGCATTAACTAGCTAGTGTTTATTTTTGTCAGTTTTTCCTCCTACCTTACTATTCTAATTTAGTAACTGCTGCCGTGAGGCCCTCTCAGGGGATATATATATATATATATATATATATATATATATATATATATATATATATATATATATATATATATATATATATATATATTATGCAATAAGATCACAGTAAACAGGTGATTTCAGAATATGCAAAACAACCACTCTGAAAGAATAGAGAAATTCCAAGCGCTTTCGTGACTACTCACATTATCAAGGAACTATCATAGTTCCTTGATAATGTGAGTAGTCACGAAAGCGCTTGGAATTTCTCTATTCTTTCAGAGTGGTTGTTTTGCATTATATATATATATATATATATATATATATATATATATATATATATATATATATATATATATATATATATAAAGGAATGTACGAGAGAATAGTGGTACTAACACTCTTATGAGTGTGTGAAGCATGGGATGTAAATGCTGCACCAAGGCGGGTGGAGGCAGTGGAGATGTCCTGTCTAAGGGCAATGTGTGGTGTAAATATTATGCAGAGAATTCGTAGTGTGGAAATTAGGAGGTGTGGAGTTACTAAAAGTATTAGTCAGAGGGCTGAAGAGGGGTTGTTGAGGTGGTTTAATCATTTAGAGAGAATGGAGCGAAGTAGAATGACTTGAGAGCGTATAAATCTGTAGGGTAAGGAAGGCGGGGGTAGGGGTCTTTCTCGAAAAGGTTAGAGGAGGGTGGGGGTAAAGGAAGTTTTGTGGGCGAGGGGCCTGGACTTCCTGCAAGCATGCGTGAGCGTGTTAGGAGTGAATGGCGAAGAATGGTTTTTGGGACCTGACGAGCTGTTGGAGTGTGAGCAGGGTAATATTTTGTGAAACGATTCAGGGAAACCAGTTAGCCGGACTTGAGTCCTGGAAATGGGAAGTACAATTCCTGCACTTTAAAGGAGGGGTTTGGGATATTGACAGTTTGGAGGGACATCCAAGCTGTCGTATGTTAGTGCCTCTGCAAAGACAGTGATTATGTGTGGTGGTGAAAGTGTTGAATGATGAAAGTTTTTTTTCTTTCCTTTTGGGTCACCCTGCATCGGTGGGAAACGGTCGACAGTGAAGAAGGTCCTCTGGGAACGTACTTGCTTGGACATCCTCCTCTTTTCTGCAATTTTGCAACCTCCTGATGTGTTGATTGCAACACGAAAGGTTCTAGAGCTAACATTCTACTTCCCCCGTGGTTGTTTTGCATGCATGCATATATATATATATATATATATATATATATATATATATATATATATATATATGTATATATATATATATATATATATATATATATATATATATATATATATATATATATAACGATGTAGTGTTATCAATTTATATTTTATCTAGTCATGCTTCGGTTAATAGAATTCTAACAGGAGTTTGTAGCGTAAATTAATATCTTCGCACTTCAGAGTTTAATAACCCAGTATACATTCTGAGGCAGCGAGTGATATTTGAAGTATGCTTTTGTGTACACTAGGGCATCCAGCGTGGCTCTTAGTGGTTCATTGTGGCTCTGAGTGGTCCACCGTGGCTGTAGTGGTCCGCCGTGGCTGTAGTGGTCCACCGTGGCTGTAGTGGTCCACCGTGGCTGTAGTGGTCCACCGTGGCTGTAGTGGTCCACCGTGGCTGTAGTGGTCCACCGTGGCTGTAGTGGTCCACCGTGGCTATGAGGGATCACTTTGAGCTATCCACAGAGTCTCTAAGGAGCCCACTGTGTCCCTAAGACGACCATGCTGTCTCTAAGGGGCCTATTGTGGCTCTCAGGGATTCACCGTGGCGCTAAAGGGCCCACCGTCACCCTAAGGGATACACAGGGGCTCTATGAATTTCACAATGGCCCTAAGTGGCCCAGTGGTCGGCCAGAAGCTCTACTGTAACTAAGGAATCAATGCTCCAGCTTTCAATTTACTTTCATTATTATTATTATTATCATTATTATTGAGTAAAACTGAATCTGTAATGGTCATACAGCGCCTGGAGAGTGAAAGGTAATCAGGTTTGATCCTAGGAATGAGAGATATCTAATTCCTTGGATCATTTCATGGGTATCAAGGCAACTCCCCCTCCCCCCAGATGGGATAATAGTCATAGGTTCTCTTTAGGATTAAAGGATCCATATCCTAGCTATAGTGATTCAAGGTGGCTGTAAGGAATCCGCCGTGGTTTTGAGGGATCCATTCTACAGCTTCAAACTCTACCGTGGCTTTAAGGGATCCAGTTTCAAGCCAAAAGTTAGACAAAAGTTTAAAAGGATCCACTCTTCAGCCAAAAGCTCCACCGTGGCTGTAAGGGATCCACTCTCCAGCCAAAAGCTCCACCGCGGCTGTAAGGGATCCACTCTCCAGCCAAAAGCTTCAACGTGGCTGTAAGGGATCCAGTCTCTAGCCAAATGCTCCACAGTGGCTGTAAGGGATCCACTCTCCAGCCAAAAACTCTACCGTGACTGTAAGGGATCCAATCTCTAGCCAGAAGCTCCACTGTGGCTGTAAGGGATCCACTTGCCAGCCCAAAGCTTCACAGAGCCTGTCGAGGATCCATTTCTTGTCTAGAGGCTCCATCGAGGATCTAATAAAATACGTAAAACTTTTCTTTACTCTCTTGTTCCTGGCGACCACCTACCCCACAGGTCAGACACCAGACTACCTTAATCAGACGGAGGATCGAGAGGTCGTAAGCACAGTCCTTGTGCTGAATAACCCACACTGGTTTAGCGCTTTATGAAAAACAGTTTCGAATTCTTTTCCCACTGACTCATTTTCAGAGCAGTTTTATTTTTCTTTAAGAGAAACGAAAACAAAAACAAACGCTAATCGCTACACTTTATGACAGCAAGGAAAATGTCTGTGACTAACAAACGTTGGGTAGATTAAATAGCAACGTTTCGACCACTCAATAGGCATGATGGCCTCTGTATCATTTTATCGCTTGTAACGGCTTGACAAAGCTCCTGGGGGAGCGAAACTTTCCCACAATTAAATGTCACATTACATGCGTCTGTGTCCTTTTACCTAACATTACGATCCTCCACTATGTATGTAAAACACTGTCGTTCATAAGGGTAACCAATGTATCTCAGTGTCGTTTACCCCACTTTATCGGCATTTACACTCCCTTCCAGTTTCGTTCTCCAATTATCGTAAGGTTCCAGTATCATCAGAATAAAAATCTTACTCGTTACCTCTGAATTTTATTCTCTCAGTGACACCTGACATTGTCTTAATCATTCATGCTTACTTTAATAAACGATCTTTCTGTTTTCAATAGAAGGTAAATTGAAATATTACTGAATGCTGTGTTAATTAGAGTTATCTCTTTCCACTTTATTATCAGGTCAGTATTGTTCTTACGCTTCACTCTCTGCGTCAAAGTCATTCTATTCTTCCTCGCTTCTCCTCACTCTCTTCTTCTCGTCTCAAAGATCTCACACAATGCATCTCTGTAACGCCACGAATGTTTGGGTCTCTCGCAGGGCAACACGTTAGCAAAATGTCTCGGTCTCTTGGGTGGCAACACGCGAGAGCCTTGGTCTCTTTCTGGGAGACACGTGAAAGTCTCAATCTCTCGTGGGGAGACACGCGTTAAGTCTCGGCCTTTTTGCGTTCCAACATGCGGTAAAGTCTCGGTGTCAAGTGGGCGACACACACATACCACAGCCTCCGGAGACCCGTGTGCTGCGAACTTCACTTCGCGAGTGAGTTTGGAGGCTCCAGCACCCACCAGGAGGACAGGTCAGCAGCCTGACGCGAGCACACGGTCCGCCGGCGCAAGGCACACTGACTGGGGAAAGAAAAGGCCTCACAGGTGACTGTGAAGTGAAGGGGAGCCGCGCCCGCGCACGCCCCGACGCCCGCCACTCAAGCACGGACTCCCGGGGGGGGGGGCGCACTTGACGATTTAGGGGGGCTGGGAGGGGGCAGTGCTCCCCATGACGTCTTGCTTGACCCCATCCTTTGACCTTCGTTGCTACCCTCCCGGCGACAGGGGAATGTATTGTCATTAATTCTATAGCACTCACGGGGGAGAATCCGCTAAGGCGAAAGGGGTTGTACAACGCCTGAGGAAGGCAATGAGATTTGATTCTAGGAAAGGGAGAGGTAAATCCAGTTCCTAGCATCAAGGGACCTTCACAGGCATGAAGGGAACCCATGGTAAGAGTGTGGGGGAATGCAAGTGGTGATAATATCAGGTAAAATTAGCTTGGTGACACTAATAAACTGTAATAAAATACGTAATATTGACGAAGATATTTAATAAGGAAACGTTTGGTCACTCGTGGCTTCCACTCGTGGCGAAACGTTTCTTTAATAAAAGGCTTGTTCAGTGCATAAGTGTTTTGTACCTACAGTGACGGCATAAGTCAATAGAACCATTTCCGCCATCATAATGGCATGTACGGGCTCTTGTTTCAATGAACTGGCGTTACCCATCCCTTTCCTCGGATTAAACCTGTTTTTCCAACCCCTCTCATACCTCTGACGCTTCGTAACATCTGAATATTATGTATAATAAAAAATATTACTAATATTGCATTTAATTTGTATTTAATTAAGTCCATTAAATGCTATTCTTCTGGCTGACGTCTGTAAATAATCCTTCCCGCTGGTGTTTCGATGTCATTCTCCGATGTCATTCTGTCATTTCCTTCGTTGCATCGAGGTTAATAATTTCAGATGACGTTGAAGTTTGATGAAGTCGTCTCGTCTAGTCTCCTTCGACGTCTTTTTTTTTAATTTATCGGTGACGTAAGCATATGATTACGTCACTTTTGCAAAAGTGTCTGATTCTTCAATTTGGCGGTTTCTCGACCATTTACGTTATATCTGTCAGACAGCAACATCTTGGTGACCACAGCCCATGTGACCACAGCCCAGGTGGCCACAGCCCAGGTGGCCACAGCCCAGGTGGCCACAGCCCAGGTGGCCACAGCCCAGGTGAACTCAGCACAGGTGAACTCAGCACAGGTGAACTCAGCACAGGTGAACTCAGCACAGGTGAACTCAGCACAGGTGAACTCAGCACAGGTGAACTCAGCACAGGTGAACTCAGCACAGGTGAACTCAGCCCAGGTGAACTCAGCCCAGGTGAACTCAGCACAGGTGAACTCAGCACAGGTGAACTCAGCACAGGTGAACTCAGCACAGGTGAACTCAGCACAGGTGAACTCAGCACAGGTGAACTCAGCACAGGTGAACTCAGCACAGGTGAATCAGCACAGGTGAACTCAGCACAGGTGAACTCAGCACAGGTGAACTCAGCACAGGTGAACTCAGCACAGGTGAACTCAGCACAGGTGAACTCAGCACAGGTGAACTCGTCTGACATTCCGCATCCTCGCTGATGTCCTTGACAGCTATCATGTACAGAGGTAGAGACTATCATATTTATGGGAATGAAAGAGCCACAGAGAGCCTGGGGAATGAAGAGTCGCAGATAGCCTGGGGAATGAAAGAGTCGCAGAGAGCATGGGGAATGAAAGTCGCAGAGAGCCTGGAGAATGTCACAGGGAGCTTGTGGAATGAACGAGTCAGAGAGCTTGGGGAGTGAGTCACAGAGCTTGGGGAATGAGTCACGGAGGCTGGGGAATGAGTCATAGAGAACTTGGGAATGAGTCACAGAGCGCCTGGAGAATAAAAGTCACAGAGCCTGGGGAATGGGTCACAAAGCTTGGGGAATGGGTCACAAAGCCTGAGGAATGAAAGTCACAGTCTAGGGGAATGAAAGAGTCAGAGAGCCTGGGGAATGAGAGTCATAGAGAGTCTGGGAAATGAGTCATAGAGAGCCTGGAGAATTAGTCACAGAGCCTGGGGAATGGGTCACAAAGCCTGAGGAATGAAAGTCAGTCTAGGGGAATGAAAGAGTCAGAGAGCCTGGGGAATGAGAGTCATAGAGAGTCTGGGGAATGAGTCATAGAGAGCCTGGAGAATTAGTCACAGAATCTGGGGAACGATAGAGTCACAGAAAGCCTGGGGAATGAAAGAGTCATAGAGCCTCTGGGGAATGAAAGTCATAGAGAGCCTGGGGAATGAGAAGGATGGGAAGTAATGAGGTCTGAGCTGAGAAAAGGAAGGATAACTCCTATTTCTTGGATCAAGATACACCCCTCCCTTCCCCTTGAAGGGAAATGCAAAAAGAGAGATGCAAGAGAATTTGAAACAGGATAATGAGCACATCATTCACCATCTCTCTCTCTCCTCAGCTATTTTTCCAGAGAAGAACAGACATTACGATAAGTAATTGTTATTATGTTCTTGGGGAAGAGAAGAAGAATCCAGGTAAGATGAGGGGGTACCTCGAATTCCTTGAATCAAGAGCCCTTGACCAACGCCCGGGCACCTCACTGGGAGGGGTCACGATTCAGCATCACGATTTGCTTTTTCAAAAGTGCAGGCATTGTGCTTCCCTCGTCCAAAATTTGAGGCCCGTTAACAGGTTTCCCTTAATCCCTACACCGATACTACCACGGTTGCACTCTAACAGCACGTCAAAGCCGTAATCAACATTCATTCCACAACCGTCACTCCGATCTGACACGTTCACCCACTCTTGTTAGGTACATAAGGTCGCACCTTGCAAAACCACATTCTCGCCCTCCTTACAGTTCTTCTTGCAACGTCTATTTTTTCCATTCATCCGTCCAAGAATCATACAGTCTTTTATCCAGTCCATCTTGCCAGTTTGTTTCCACATGGCTAACCTTTCTCAACATCCCATTTTCTGACCTCAGAAATAGACATTTCATTCTAATGCGTCAGTTTCAGATTGCTTCATTCTTGAATTCTGTTCACTTTTTCTTGCTATTTCCCACTGTCACTATTCTGCCTGTATTCAAATCTCCAACAATAGTGAAGAAAAGGCACACTTTAGAGAGCAGGCTATAACAAGAACAACGTTTCGCTTTGTGAAACGTTGTTTGTTACGTTGGCCCGTAACAGTGCATCTCACTTTATTATTAAACATTGCCAACAGCAACCATTCCCTCGATTCACTTCCAAGACTCTTCTCTCTATCTCCTCAATCTTTCTTAACGCTGAGTATTACCCACTTCTCATATTAAACTTTTGTTCAAAATTACAATCTTCATGAACCACAAATCTTCAGCCAGTACTAACACTCGATCTATCAGATACGATAGATTTAGTTTCCTGTAACCTTTCTCCATAGAGATAAATATTATCACGGATATATATATATATATATATATATATATATATATATATATATATATATATATATATATATATATATATATATATATATATATTATAGATATACATATTATACAGAGGGAAGAATAAATAAGAATGTATAATCAGAAAGCGTAAAAAAATAAGATTTTATGTAAATTAACAAAATTAAAAGATATGAAATTGCACGAAGTAAGGATTAAAGTTGAATAAAAATAAATAATACTTATTTTAAAATTATACTTATCTATTAAAGGATATTTATTAAAGGCAAACACTGCCTATTTTTAAAGATGTTTATTTTCTCATGTAAACGATGTTTATTCAAGTCAATAATGTTTATTCCACAGACAACTGTAAAGTTCATAAAAGTTCTCGAACAAAAGAAACAAATTTCAATTGGGAAATATAGAAGGTGAACTCATGGCTAAAGTTTTAATTTTCTTTCCAAACTTCTCTCTTGTTTTTTTTCTCTATAGGATTTTATTTACGTACTAAAAAAAAGTGTTCCTTTAAGTGTTCAGTGTTAGCAAAAGGCATTAAAGTATATAATGAATTTCCTTAAAATCATTGGTCCTTTTTTTATTTAATATTATAAATATTGTTCATCAGTGAGATAATTATTTTATTATTATTAAGTAATCAGTTAAAAAAAATAGTAAGGGTAAGTTCTTGCCATATAAGTGATGGTGAATAATTGAACGAGTGGGACTCGAACTCACGGCACGAGAGTACTAATGGCTCTTTATACTAGATAAACAATTTTCAAGTTTTTTAGTACTGATAAGGGGTGTGTGCGGTGGGTTTGAGTACAGATAAACTTTGCTTCCTGTCATTTCCTCCTGGCTCTGTTCTCCGATGATGAGGTTGATGCCCTATCATGCCATCAGGTGTGTATGATTGTATCTGTGGACGGGATAAGCACTGACGATGATGTTGATCCTACAAGCGTACCGGTGACCTACCCTGATGCTGCGTAATGTTTCTCCTAAGAATTAATCTTTTTGTCACATTGTCAACCAGGGATAGCATAGACTGCAGGTCTGGTGGTGGTATAGTTGACTAGTCCTCATCTGGTTATGTTTCTATGTATTTTCTTAAGGGAGTATTAAAACAATGATGCCATTTTCTAGAGATCCTATGTGACCATATTGATATAAATGTAGCAGCCCTTATATACAAAGTGATTCGAGACATAACCAGAACAAAACTCAGTGAACATAAAAACATTAGTGCCGGGTTTATGTCATTCACAATATATATAATGAAAAGATGGGGTGGTAGGGGAAGTGGAATATTCAAACGGCTTCAGGAAGAAATCCAAATATTCTTCCTTGAAGCCTTTTTATCCACTTCTAAGAGGCTATGGGTCCCACAATTTACACCAGACGTGGACCCCATCGTATATATATATATATATATATATATATATATATATATATATATATATATATATATATATATATATATATATATATATATAATTATATATATATGCAATAAGATCAAAGTAAACAGGTGATTTCAGAATATGCAAAACAACCACTCTGAAAGAATAGAGAAATTCCAAGCGCTTTCGTGACT